TTTAAAAAGAAAGGAATGGAGGAAGAGATGAAGGGAGGGAGGAAGGGAGGGAGGGAGGAAGACAGGGAGGGAAGGAGGGAGGGAGGGAGGGAGGGAGGGAGGGAGGGAGGGAGGGAGGGAAGGAAGAGAGGACAATAGCATCTCTGAGGCTCTCAGAAAGGAAATCCCAGTAGGACTAAATACTGGTTTATAAATTTCTATCTCTGGTTCCTGCAGAGGGCGCCAAACACAAGCCAGCGGCTGCTGGTTATTCCTACACACACACACACACACACACACACACACACACACACACACACACACACACACACCTTCATGCTGTAGTTTGATTCCTTTCCCCCCTTCTATTAAAAGCAACTCGAGGGAGGAAAATGATTCTTTGGCTTACGGATTACAGTCCACTGCCCAGGGAAGACAGGGCAGGAAGTCAAGGCAACAGCTTGAAACAGTAACCGCAGTGGAACACCGCCTTCCTGCCTTGTTCCCTCTGGCTGGCTCAGCCACCCCTCCCACACAGTCTACCCCAGCTGCCCAAGAAAATGCCCACACATGTGCCCCCAAGCCAACCTGATAGAGGCAACTCCTTAATTGCGGGTCCTGCTTTCCAGGTGTATCAAGGTGACAACTGAAACTATGATGTCTTCCTTACCCCAACAACATTCCAGATTCCAGTTACCGTAACAAACCACCCAGAACTCAGTAGATTAAAACAACAACCATTTTATATCACGGGTTCTGTTGGTCAATGTTTGGACCACACTCGGCTGGGCAGCTCGGCTTCATGGCGTCATTCACTTATCTGGCACCTGAGTGGTGATGGTCGTCCAGGCCCATCAGGCACAAGGCCTTGCATAACCAACTCAGGGGAGCTGGCTCTCTGAGAAGCTGTGTGACCTATGTCCAAACCCGAGCAAGTCATAATAGTCCTTGGATCAGATCCGCTTCAGCCCCTCCCCCATTCAAGAGGAGGAAGTCCAGACTTCGTGACTGTAACGGATATTTAAAGTCCCACCCCTTAGCCCCTTTGGAAACTGGAGACGTCAGAGTCTTGCAGCAGAGAGTGTCTCAAGCGACCCCGTTCACACCTACAGAAGCTAGGAGAGATGAGCAGGGACCACTGTCTTCCTTCTCTAAGACTGTGTGTGGTTCTTGGAGAGTCTCTGGGACTGGGAAGAACTCAGGGTGGGCCCTCGGAAGGGAGTCCCTCAGATAAAGGCAGTGGGAGCTCACTTCCTCTGCAGCTCAGTGGCGTTGGCTACGGTGGGGTCCCGTTACTCCACCACTCTGAAATGAGGGCTTACCGTGTGGATCTGGATGGATTTGAACTTTCTGTGTAGCCTAAGAGGGCCTGAGGTCATGATTCTCCTGCCTGCGTCTCCATGTTTTGGGATCACAGGTGTGTGCGACCACGCCCAGACTCACTCTTGTGTCTTGTGCTGAGTAGCCTTTGCTCCTGGAGCATCTGGGCATGTGTGTCATTAATGTTGGAATGAGATCCTTGGTCAGTGGCCAAGAGCTCTGACCCAGGAGCTGCTCTCCCCACACAGGTAGAAGAACTGAACGTGGCAGATGACTTAAACCGGCCTGCTCTGCTACAGGAGATGGCTGGGGATAGACTCCTGGGAGACATTTGTGTGTCGCAGAAAATACTCTGAACTATGTTCTACTGCTTTCCCTGAGTACCAGCTGCTAGGCTTTCTCCAGAGACCACGCTTTGCTTACATGTGTCATCTTTACAGCTGGGTGGTGAGGTGTCCCGGGCTGACCGGGCAGACTGTGTTCCCAGGAGTCAGCTGGGCAGAACAGAGGCCTCTCGCTAACAAAATGCTCAAAAGCAAAGTGCTGAAGTGTAGAACGTCAGCCCAGGAGGCGTCACAGTCACCTTATACCCCTGCCATTCATCAGACACCACGAAGCCAGCTACAGGATTAGCGGAAAGTGGCATTTCTCCCAAGGTGCTGTCACCTCAGTTCCAAGTGGTCGCCTTTCCCGAGTGGCTGCTGCTTCTTTTTTGGTGACATTTCCAGTCTTGCTCTGTTCCTGCCGTCGCCTGACACTTTTATCGCTGCAGGCTCCGTGACTGAACTCTGAAAGGCTGTTAGTCCTCTGTGCCCTGAAAGTCAGTCAGCATGAATGGAGCATCTCTGTTGCCTGAGAGAACTGACCACAGAAAAGCAGTCTCAACTTGTAGCTCAAACACAGAATTGCACCCCACAGGGTGCGTGCATGCCTGCATGTGTGCGTGCGTCTGTCTGTCTGTCTGCCTCCCTCTCCCCGTCCCTGTTTTTGTCCTTTCCCTCCTTCTCTCTACATGTGTGTATGTGTGCACGCAGGAACGTGTGTGTGGAGGTTAGAGGACACCACCTCAGGTGGTGGTGTTGTTCTTTTTTTTTTTTTTTGAGGCAGGGTATCTCACTGGCCTGGAACTCACCAAGTGGGCTATGTTAGCTGCTGCCCGTAGAGTCCAGGACTCCACCTGTATCTGCCTCCTTGTCGATGTGTTTCATATATAAAATTTACCTTATTTTATGTTCATTGGTGTTTTGCCCACGTGTCTGTCTGTGTGAGGTGTCAGAAACCCTGAAACTGGAGTTACAGACAGAAGATGTGAGCTGCCGTGTAGGTGCTGGGAATTGAACCCTGCTATCTGGGGATAGCACTCAGGACTCAGGTCCTGGTGCTCGTCTGGCAAGCCCTCCACAGCCTGATGGGCCTTCCAGCCCCCAGCTAATTCCCGGCAGGGTTCCAGGCACAACATTACATATTCACCTCGACTCCAGAGTCTCCAAAGAACCAGGTCCTGCGCCCACTCTGCCGTGGTGCCTGATGCCAATCCCTTCGGTGTAGCCTGCTGTGCTCAGAGCCTAGCTCATCACTGAACAATTTACAGTGCGTTTACGTGCATCTTTCCCCAAACCCTGGCCCCTGTCTTGGCCTGAAGAGCTGCCCTTGTTCTGGTGTTCTCTCTGTCCCCCTGCGAGGGAAGGAACCTACGTTGGTGGGCTTCTCCCTCCTGGGTGGGACACACTGAGAGGTGACTTGCAGCAGCATAAGAACCATTGTCCTTTCCCCTGTCTTGTAAGATGGGCTGTGGTCCAAACACGGTCCCCAGATCAGCTCAGGTAACCCGTCTTAAGGGAGAAACACTGCTGGATCTCTAAGTGGGTGATTTATTAACCCCACACCATTAAATAATTAAATAAACGTGGGAATCCAATCTCTTTTCCCTCCCCCCAGATTCCTCCCCATCTTTCTGGAGCTGTGGTACCCTATGAGCCAGCCTCTCTTAGTAGGCCTAGTGGAACCTCTATAGACACTGGGAATGCACAGTCTTCCCGATGCCCTGTCAGATAGAGAAGATCCAAAGTCATGGCCCCTGGGATGGAGGGTGTTTGCATCTGTGATAACCTTGTCAGCCTAGCATGGTCTTGAGTTATGGTGGAAGAGAGTTTTGACGGGAGACTGCCTAGATTATGCCGTCGGTATGTAAGGACCCAGCCCGATGTGGGCAGCATCATTCCGTGGGTTTGCGTCATGGACTTTACAAGAGGAGAGGAAGTGAGCTGAGCCACTAGGTATGCCCACACTAACTCATGTCTCTCCGAGCTGGAGTGTGAATGCGACGTAACCGGCGGCTTCAAGTTCCGCCATCTTGACTTCTTCACAGTGATGGACGGTAGCCCATAGCTGTACGTAAAAACGAACCCTTTCTCTCAGCTCTTCTTTGAACATACCTTAAAATGAGGGTCGTTGTTTACCCTCTGTGTGTAAGGGTGTGGGCCTGTGGAACTCAAGGACAACACGTCGGCTCTTCCTCCACCGTGTGGGCCGCCGGGATTGGACTCAGGCCATCAAGTCCAGTGCCTTTACCCGTCACCCGGTCTCACCACTCCACCCCAGGCCACCCCCAAAGCTGTCTTTGCCAGGGCATTTTATCAGAGCAACCGGACAGGAAACCCGACAGCATCCCAGCCCTATTTGTGCCCCTCAGTCAGGTAGCCACCTCGTTTCTGGAGAATTCTCAGAGGATAAGCTAAGTGTGATATTGCAGCCTTTGCCATCATGGGTTCAGGAACCCAGCTCTGGTAGACTCAGCAGACACCATACTTCTGGCTGTTTTAAAGCAGGCTGAGTAGTCTAAAGCAGGATTTAAGGGGGGTGGCCTGGGATTGAGAGCCCGCAGGACAATTGTTCTCTACCCCTCTGGGTCATGCTGGGGAGCAGATGGAGCTCACGTTAGCAGATGAGATTCTGGCAGCAGAGGGGAGGCTGGGAAATGAAGTGGTCTACCCACCACTGGACACCTCAATTGTGACTCAATAAATACCACCCTGTGGCTGATCTAACCTCATTTAGTTGCCGGCCATACCTCTGAAAACCTAGTCATAATCTCAACCACTCATATGACAGCCTCAGGGACAGAAGAGGTACTCTCTCACCATGTCCAGGGAATGCCTCGTCAGGTTATAGAACAGCATCTACTCAGGCAAGTTAGAAGCTGACTAACTCTGGGAGAGGCGCTGTACCAGATGTGAATTCAGCGAGTACCCTCCTTTGTTCTTCTCTCCACACTGCAGCCCCTCATGTAGCTTCATGCTGGCTATAAAATTGCCTCAAGGGACATTTCACAGGCACATGTGGGCTCTGTGGCCGCCTGTGATGGGTATCAAGTCGCCTAAGGCAGCAAATGCTGCTCCCCAGGTGTGGGACTCAGGACAGAATGTGTCTTAACAGCATCTGCAAGTGACACTAGGTCTCCACCCCACAGGTCCTCGAGCAAGGTGAGAGCCAGGGTTGAGCTGTCGGGACTGGGCATGGTGATCTTTGGCAAGTCTCACACCTCTCTAGACATCCGTTTCCTCCATTACCCTCAAGAAAACTGTGTGCTCTAAAAAAACCCAGTCATCTGAGAGTCCAGGAAGCAGAACTGAACCCAATCTCTCCACTCCATCCACGGTCAGTAAGCACTGACCCCAGCACCCAAAGGAGAGTGGGCCACAACCAGGAATTACCTTTATTCCTTGCTTGCTCACCCAGAAGCCCCAGAATAGTAATGTAATATAAATAGCAATGCCTGCCTGGAAGACACAGCCTCCAGTTAACTGCTCTCAGGAAATACAGTTCACAGTTCTGAATTGCTGGGTAACAAAAGGTGCTGTCACTGAGTTCCCAAGACTTCGACTCACTGAAGAGCTTTGTGTAACAGCACAGGGGGACAGCCCATACGGTGACAAGATAAGTGTATGTACCTGGGGAGGGGGACAAAAAGACATGTCTTTCCAAAATAGAGCCAGACCCCACTCGGGAAATATGGGGAAGGCAGTTCTCAAATAGGCAGGGTTAAGGAAAAGTGAATCCCAGGAAAAACGGAAGCAGTCAGGCACACGAGAAACACCAGGGTGAGCAAGGTGCAGGCACGGACGAGGCTCACGGGGCCATTCCAGCAGACAGCAGACAGCAGACAGCAAGGACTCGGCAGTGGAGCCCTATCCAGGGAAGCCAGCATGAGAAAACACCAGCAACCTGCCCTGGTGAGGGTGTGTGAGTGAGTCTCTCACACAAGACGCGGTTGAGAAGGATACCCTCAAGGTAGAGGCCAAGAGGGCACCTGGGATTTGAAGCTATAACCACTGTCCCTTGGAGAACTTCAGGAAGAGGAAGGCTTCTGTTCCGACATGGTTCCACCGGGAAAAGTGACTCAGCTGAGTCTCCCCCCTTTCCTTGGGAGTGAGCTTGGATCACGTGGCTTCCTCAAGTCTTCCAGCTCCACGTGAAGTTGATCGGGCCCTGGCCAGTTGCAGGGTCTCTCAAGCAGGTCTGAAGCTGGGAGTTGCACCAGGAGAATATGCTCACCTCCTGTCTTGTGGTTCTTAAACCTTGACAGACCCAACAGGTGGCTGCCTTGGGTGAGAAGAGCTACACTTGGAGGTCTGAAGGGTGTGGAAGCCTGTGCACCAGCTCGCCCAAACCCAGATGAGAGCAGAACAAAATGCAGGAGCCCTGCCGATTCCCGTGTGTCTAACAGTGCTAAGCCGAGTTCAGGGCCTGAGCCAGCATCTTTCCAGAAGAGATAAGGCATCACAGCCAGCTGTTTAGCCAGACGATGTGCAGGGAGCAGGGTGTGGGTGGGATGGGGAGGTTGGGGGGAAGGTAGTCCCAGGGTGGACAGAAGGTTTCTGGTTCTTTTAATTAAGACAGGATGCAGTGGTCCAAAACTCTTCCAGTCAAACTGAGTCAAAAGCATGTCTTAGCAGCAAGAATGTATCCTTGTTTTGTCACTTGAAGGTCAGTGGGCTCTGGCCCAAGAGAGAGTAAGGCCAGCTTGTGCAGGGCAGAGACACAGCCACCAGTTACGTGGGCTGCACCCACCTGTCCCTCGAGCCCCTCACGTGAAGTAACGGCAGGGTGTGGAGTCGATGTAGCAGTGCTGGGTGCACCGGAGGTCTCCATACGATCTGGGAGAGACAAGGACACTGATCAGGCAGACAGCAGAGGGCATGGTGGGCAGGGAAAGGCACATCCTAAAAGATACTGGTGTTCCAACTGCATTCCACGACCATACCCCTCACTGAGTGCCAAGGTCTAGGAAAGCTTTTCTGCCTCATTCCGGGTGTGGGGCTCAGGGAGGGTGAGTTGGGTTTCTGGAGATTTCCACATAAAGCTCTAGCAGAGACTACAGTGGGAGGTACAGTTGGCTCCGATGTTACCACATCACCTGTGAGACAGCCACCCCTTCCTCAATGCCTCAGGGTGTCCAGGGCTGCCTGCGGATCACTCAAGACTAATACAAATGTCCTCTATTTGTGCCCAAGGGGCAGCATTGGCCTGGTACAGATTCTGAGCTCTTGAAATTTGGCTAGTGTGACTGAATACCTAAATTAAAAGCACTAATGATTTTAAAATCAAATAGGTGCATGGAACAGAGGCTGCCATGTTTGACAGGGTGCTCTACACATCTGGAAACACAAATGATAATCCACACACATTCACAGCTGTCTCTTGGAAGCTTCTAGAGGACACAGGCGTAGCCCTGATGAGCTAGTGAGTAGGCCCCAGGCTCTAATGTTAACTCCATTTCAGACACTGACACATTGTGACTCCACAGAGCTGTCAAGCAGCTTCGTCAGACAAGATCCAGGAGGTGGCTGTCAGGAGCCTTCCTTAGTTCGGGCATGGGGCAGTGCACACAGACTCACATATGCAGTGGGGTCCTAGCCGAGCCTCCCCGGGGTGGAGTCCTGGGGTGACTGGAGATATGCGACTCCTTCAGCCAGATTGTGTATGCTAATGTGTGTTGGAGGCTGAGGGTTGAGGAGACTCCTGAGGGAAATGTGGGACAGGTGATGTCTGTTTCCCAGTCTGCTGACGTCCTGCCCGAAGGTAAGTGATGGAACGCAAAGCTGAGGACATGGACTCTTGAGAGACCCGATGACCTAAAAGGTCAGCAGATGGGGATGGGTGGCTCCCTAGAGCATCATACGCTGACTCCGGGACAGTCAGGTGAGCTCAGGGCCATTTAGCACCATTCTGTACTGGAAGGTTACATTCTGGGGAGGGGTCTTCAGGTAGCTTGAAGATGACATTGTGGGAGCAAGGGCACTAACACATTTGAATACCCACTGAGGAGTCTCCAAGGTAGCCAGACAGCTCTTTGAAGGAGATGTTTTCTTGGAGGGACCGTGAAATTGTCAAGATCAGAAATTTTTCCTTTCATTTTTAAAAAAAAATTATGTATATGTCTGTCCCTGTGTCTGTCTCTCTCTGTCGCTGCCCCCTCTGTCTCTCTCTGTGTCTCTGTCTGTCTGTCTGTCTCTCCTTTTCTCTCTCTGTGTCTCTGTGTCTCTCTCTGTCTGTCTGTCTCTGTCTCTGTGTGTGTGTCTCTCTCCATCTCTGTCTGTCTGTCTCTGTCTCTGTGTGTGTGTCTCTCTGTCTCTGTCTGTCTCTCTCTCTGTGTGTGTGGGGGAGTAAGGGTGCCATGGTGGCCATGTTCAGGTCAGAGGACAACTCTGTGGAGTTGGTTCTCTCCTTCCAGTTACACAAGTTCTGGGGATCAAAATCAGGTCACCAGGCTAGCATGGCACATGCCCTTACCCACTATGTCGTGTTGCTGGGCCTCCTTTTCCTTTCCTGAGGAACTGGAAATTGAATCTAGACTTACTGAGCTATCTCACATCCCTAAGGTTAACTCTGGTCCGATCTCATTTAGATTTGTGGGAAGTGGGTATTGTGCTCTGGAAATCGAGGTGGGCGGACAGATGGAGTCTGTAAAACCCCCTTATGCTACTGGCTGGCTGTGTTCCTCTCTACTTCCTCTGAGGCCACAACCCAGGAATCACTGGGACTAGCAGACCTGGAACCTGCTGTTCTGACCTGGACTGGGCTGACACTGATGGCTGTGACTGCTCTGACAGAGCCCTCTTGGGGACGGTGACTACTATGTGATCAGTAGGGGAGCATGGACTCTATCCCACCTCAGTGTCTAGAAAGTACCAGCAACATAAAAGGCCCTTAAAAAATCTGTGAAGGAGAGCAGGGGAGGGGAGATTCTGGAAGAGTGTGGAAGGCCTCCCTACCCAGGCAGATAGGTCTCGCATGTCAGGTAGCCAAAGTCCGAGCCGTCACAGTCCTCCACGCCCTGGTGCCGGTAACCGTCTCCACAGTAGGCCCGGTGACAGTCTAGGGGGAGAAAAGTATAGCTCTGAGAAGGGTGGAACAGGCTCGCCTACACAGTGAGGTCAGTGTGGCCCAGTGGAGTCCCTAGAGCTTTCCACCCGCCTTGGAACCAACTTTTGGAAGGTTCAGACGTGTCACACTGACATACCAGGGTGCTGTGTAACACACCTGCCATTTACTTGTCAAGGGGACAAAGATCCTTCGTGTCATCTGGAAAACTGGGAAGATGGCACTGCCTCCCCTTCATAGAACTACTGTGGAACGTTGGTAACGTAAGGCTTAGGGGACTGGAACAGCAGACCCCCGTGAGAGAGCACGGTGAGGCCTCTGCCAGCCAGAGCTCTGGAGGCAACCTACCACTAGGCTCAACCTGAGGAACCACGTGCCCTCCACAAAGACATCTGTCTTCATACAAGGAGTAGGACTCCATCCACCCATCCCCCCATCCCCCATCCATCCACCCATCCTCCCATCCCCCCATCCCCCCATCCCCCCATCCATCCCCCATCCCCCCATCCCCCATCCACCCCCCCATCCCCCCATCCCCCATCCATCCACCCATCCACCCATCCATCCACCCATCCACCCATCCCCCCATCCCCCCATTCCCCCATCCCCCCATCCATCCACCCATCCACCCATCCATCCACCCATCCACCCATCCACCCATCCACCGATCCACCCACAGGGTCTTGCTATGTAGTCCAAATGCCTTTTGACTTTTGGCAATCTTCCTGCCTCAACGTCCCAAATGTGCCACCATGCATGGCCCACCCTCATTTTTAGATGAAACGGAGACCTCACTACTTTCTGTTGATCGTGACAGCTAATATTGAAGGGACTCTGGGAAAAGCCAGTCCCCCATAGATTGCCATCCAAAAGCTGCAGGGGTCTGGTGCAGCTAGACTGACAGAAACAGCCTCCTTCTGAGTCTCAGCCCCACCCTGAGTGGAACTTCATCTTGATGTCTGTCCCCTAAGGACAAGGACAGCAACGGTGCCCACACATCCCCAGTTCTTGGCAAACCAAGTCATGGATGAATGCACTGACCCCGAGCCACATCTAGACAACCCCTACGTGTGTCAGCTGGATGACTGTCTGAAGACCTGCGCCGCATGCCAAGCCTCTCTTCCAGTCCAGAGAGACAGGCTCCCCTGGAAATGGTCCTCCGCTGCCGTCTTTAATGAGGTGGGTAGCACAGAGCCAGCACCTGAACTCTGTTTTGACTATGAAAACTGTACTTCTACCTCATCTCCTGCTCTGATCACTTTATGTAAAAGACAATAACAGCAAACAAAAACCCCAAATCATTGAAAACCCTCCAGAGCCAGGTCCTAACAGATCACAAGAGCTGGAGGCAGGTTTGGTGGCCCGTCTCTCTACTGGCAGAGCTTACACCTAGTGTCCACCTAGAAAGGAGTTCTGATCCCATCTCAGCCTCTCCTGCTTTTCTAGGGTCCCAAGTGAGGGACGTTGCCTTCCTCTTCTAAGTTTACGAAGAAGCAGGGCTTGGAAGAAAGAGGCCAGGAAGGCCTGTCTGGGGTACTCGATCCTGAGCACCTCCCCTGCTGACGTGCTTGGGAGAGGGAAGAGTTAAATGCCGCCTGGAATTGGGAAGGGGCCCTCCAAAACAGTCCCTGTGCACTATCCCTTGCCTTCGCCTCAGAGCACCACATCTGGTAGCCCAGGCTTACCCCGCCCCTCAGCTGCTCAGGCCCCCAGGCTGGCCCCACTCACCAATGCAGTCATCTCCCACATCTGGATTACCGTCGTCACACTCCTCTCCGGGCTGCAGCACCCCGTCCCCACAGGTGCCATGCTGGCTTACGGTGTAACCCACGGGGTAGAAAGGGGTCAGCTGCCCAAGGAAACACACAGCCATTAATGACCACGGCACGCCCAGGCAGCCACAAAGCTCCAAGCCTCCAGCACTGGGAACAGATCCCCTGAGCCTAGGTGGCATCCCTTAGCTTCCTTCCGGGATGGTGAGAGAGACCATCTTTCCCAACGATGAGCTTCTGTTTGGGGATGGGGCTGAGGGGGCTGCTCACAAGATGAGGGAGAGAGGATGCGTAGCTCTCCTTCGGGCACACGTGCAGTCGCCCCAACTGTGTAGCCTTCCTCCCCTCTAATGGGACCGTCCCTTTCCTGGCTGAGGACAGGAGGATCACAGCCCAACAGGCTTGCCCCAGAGCACCTGGATGGGAAGCCAGCCAAGGCTGTCTTTGAAGTACAACGATCGCTGGTCTCTGCGAAAGGCGATGGCGTTCTGAGTGTTCAGCTTCTCAAGCTCTTCCTGGCTGTTGACCACAAATATCTGCCAGAGAACATAGTGGTCAGGGTCCAGAAAAGATTCCCCAGATCAAGTAGGGCCAGAGGAGCAGACTCTCTGTTTGCTTCTCGTAGGGAGGAGGGTCAGAAGCCCACCCCATGCCAGTCCGGTTCAGAATGCCTGAGTTTGAAACAAAGCTATCCACCTTGATGTAACGTATTTAAATGTTTTTTAACATGTTGCCAAGGCTTAAAAGATGATGCTAATGCATAGGTAAGTAATTTGACATCTGGAAGTGGTCTTCACAAGGGTCATACACCATGATGATTATTACAAGTGTTGAACTCAGGGCACACTAGGCAAGCTGAACGAGTAGCCCAGACCCTGCTCTTTCACACAATATAATCTCAACCACACTGGAGTTAGTCCTGAAAGTAAAAGGTGGGGAAAATATCCCTCAGTGACTTCACAACCAAATTAACAAAGTCTTATTTTCTTTGGATTTTATCCCCACTTTGCAATTTCCCACAGCAATAGGGTAGCTACTGTAACAGGGGAAAGTGAATTCTCTTTCCTAAAGTACATCACGAAGGCCTACAATCAGGTCCAGAGCATCCTCAGCACCCACCGGGGCCGTGCCCTGAAGAGCCTTACCGCAGGAACCCGAGGGGAGCCATAGGTGGAGTCCCCGTGGGAGGGGCTATTCACATTCACAGGGGGTCCACAAAGGCATCTTCCTGGAGGCCCTGGAAGTCCTCTTTCTCCTTTGAGTCCCATGACAAGTTGTCCTAGGAAGCAACAGACTGTTGCGTTACTAGAGCCAAGCAAGTCAGGAGATGTGAGCAGCCTTCGTGAGGAAGGGACCTGAAAGCCGCAGGCAGATGGCTGGCGGAGGGGAGGCTCCGGGCCGCGGTGGGGGAAAACAGCCAGTAAGCAACGGGCCTCCTCCTCAACCCTGCCTTGAAGACACACAAGTCAGCTGCGCGGTAGCTGCTTGACTCAGTTATTAACAACCTGTGGGAAAGATGAGGGTTTTGTGGGACCTGGAGCCCTGAGAGTGCCACCTAGAGGCCGAACCAAACTAATAAATTGCCTGCTGATTGTCTCTAGATTCCTGTAGGAGACCGTGCCCTATTTGTGACCATTGCTGAAAAGGTCTTCTTGCAGATGGATATGCAGTGGATGGAAAGCTTTTACTGGATTTTTTAATGATTATTTATTTAGGGGAGGAGGTTGCGTATACCAGGGCACAGGAACAGAGGTCGGAGGACAACTTAGGGGAGTTAGTCCTCAACTCCCACCATATGAGACCTGGAGATGAGATTCAAGCCATCAGACCCAGCAGCAAGTGCCTTTGACCACTGAGCAACCTTGCTAGTCCAACTTTCACTGCATTGTTTGTTTGTTTTTGTTTTTCAAGACAGGGTTTCTCTGTGTAGCCCTGGCTGTCCTGAAACTCACTCTGTAGACTAGGCTGGCCTTGAACTCAGAGATCCCGACTGCCTCTGCCTCTCCAGAGTTGGGATAAAAGGTGTACACTACCGCCCAGTCATTTCACTATCTTTTAGTTTCTAATATAGAGGATATTTATGAAGGAATTGGGGGTGTTTTTTTATTTCTCCTTGAAGAAAATAGAATATTTTCTACTTAGGACATTTCTCTCTCCAGGTACTGAGAAAAGTCAGGGTGCATCCTGGAAGAGTATGATTAGGAAAATACACTCTATAGCAATGTCTAGGTCTGTAGTTCTCATTTTGACTTTTACTTATCATTTATTTTTTTATTTTTCAGATGAAGTCTTACTACATTTCCTAGCCTGGTTTTGAACACCTAGATTCAAGCAATGCCCCCCCTCCCCGTCTCAGCCTCCAAAGTGACTAGAACCACTTACCCAGTTTTGCCTTGGCTTTTTATGATGTTTCTGGACACTGTAGTCCATGCTGGCCAGGAACTTGTTATATAGCCCAAGCTGGCCTTAAAGTGGTGGCAATTCTCCTGCCTCTGTTGCCCAAGTGCTGGGATTGCAGGCTTAAACTACCATACCCAGATTCTTCACCTTGGCCTTTAGAGGCCTTGATGCTTAAGTCACATCCAAACCAATTTCATATGAACCTCCAGACATCCATAGGTTTGTTTGCTTGCTTTTTCCAGTGCTGTGGATGGAACCCCGGCCTTTCACATACACTGGATTAGTGCTCTGCCACTGAGGCACACTCCCCACCCTTGGGAATCCATGATTATTTTTATTTTTACGAGACAGGGTTTCTCTGTATTGTTTTGGAGGCTGTCGGTCCAGCCCGGCTCGAGCTCACACAGATCTGCCTGCCTCTGCCTCCCGAGTGCTGGGATTAAAGGCGTGCGCCACCACCACCCGGCTAGGAATCCATGACTTTAAAAGTCCTCAAGATGTTTCCATTGTACATCAAGAAGGAGAACCAGTAGGGAAACGGTGCGTGTGCAGGAAACCCACCTCAAACTACCTTCCTCACCCTGCACCCCTCCCTTCTCCAAGGTCCCTTCCATTCTCAGTTCAAACTTCGCTGATAGGGACGTCTTCTGTATGTGTGTTTCTCCTACTGGCTGGTGAGTAAAAAAAAAAAAACACTGTGGCCAGTAGGGCAGCAAGATAGGTGGGTCTAGGAGACGTGGAGGGTTCTGGGAAGTGTAAGCAGAGGAGTCACCGTGTGATCCAGGGAAGAGAGGACACAAGTCGGGCGTTCTCCGGTAAGATAAGACCATGTAGAAATACACTGGTTAGTAGTTGTGGGTTAATAATTAAGACAGAGATGGTCAATAAGAAGCCCTAGTCATTGGCCAACAGTTTCATAATTAATATAAGTCTCTGAGTGTTCACGGCTGTGGGACCAGGCTGGCAGGAAGAACGACCTGTAACACGTCACCTCCTCTGTCAGAAGCCTTCCCAGATCCTCCCACTCTGGCACGCTGGCTTTGGGACATTCACCTGTGTCTGTTCCTCATGGTACTCCTTTCTGCTTACAAGCTTCCCCATCCAGATTACTCCATTAACATCTCTCCCCATAGGGTAAATCTGACGGGGGCAGGTCAAGCGGCTTGACACATATTTGGAATGGGGTATCTGTTCAATGATTGGGCGGTTAATTAGAGAGCAAAGGTCTTTGTGAAGGACTGGACGTCACAGCTGCCTGACAGGACGAGGAAAGAGAGGAAGGATGAAAAGATTGACAAGAACATGCCCCCACCCAGGGACAATAAGGACCACTGGAAGCCGGCTGTCGCTGGTTTTAGGGAGTTGGTGGAGGCAGACAGGAACTGGAACAGAGACTGAAGATGCTAGGATGCCAGCAGAAAAAGCAGACCATAGGGAAGAGCTCACACACTAAAGAGGGCCCAGTGGAGAGACCCCACCTCTTAAGCTGGCCCAACAGCTCTGGCAAGGAGCCGGGGTCGAGCTCTGCGGGTAAAGCACCAGTCTAGGGTTCTGATTTTTCAGAAGACTCCAAAGAGACAAAGACATCACCAGCTCCACAACACCCTGGGTGAAAGTCTGGGACCATGAGGAGTTTCCACCTGGAGAAGTGAGGCTGTGACAAGGAGGGATGGGAGAGTGACACTGGAGCACGCCTCCAGAATGCCCTGTGACCCCAGATCGCCTCGGTAACCACAGTCTCAGAAAGAGTCAGGCTTCTCAGACATCTAGTTAATCAGTGGTGTGGCCGAAAGCTTCACCTGACAATGTCCCACTCAGACGGGCAGATACAAGCATTCGGGTGCTCTCGGGGAATTGTCGTTCCCAGGTACCACGTGGATTCGTTTATACCCCGTCTGGGTACAGGAAAGAATTATCCAAATATGTAATTGTGTTACTGCAAATTACATCTTACATTTTGCCTTCATTCCTTCCTCGCCCTCCTCCCCTCTTTCCCTTTAACTTGAGTAACTGAAACTCCCTACCCTCCTTTAGCACCAGCTGGCTGAGAACCAGACCTGAGGTGGCCCCCCAGCAGGGCGTGGCCGGGAGCCGACTGCCACGCCCCCCAGCAGGGCGTGGCCGGGAGCCGACTGCCACAACCCCCAGCAGGACGTGGCCGGGAGCCCACTGCCAAGGCTGCAAGTTTCCCCACTGCTTCCACTTCCTCCCAGTTGGCAGAGAACATCCTCCATCCTGCCAGCTTCCTGCCGCGATGCCCTGAAGGGCACAACAGCTTGAACTGCCTCACTCACCCCGGCTTTACTGCCGGGCCCTGCTGCCAGAGGACCTCACTCTCCAACTTTGCCCAGGAGCTTCTTGTGGAAAGCAGGTCACTGGGGATAGTGCCAGAAGGCGGAGGAACCCAGTAACAATCAAAAGACGGTGTGGAGGCTTTAGGAACCACGGGTGGGATCCGGGCCCTGGTGGCCACTACCCAGCTCCGTAGCCTTGTGGAGGCTCAAGGATCTCAGACTCAAATGAGTGACTGGGATAGACCAGCACACTTTAACTTGTGTTCTCTGGAGACCGAGGCTACCACAAGAAGGGGCAGATCAGACAGCTTCCTCTTGAGTGGCTTTGCGGGTTTTTGTTTGGCCTGTTTTCTCCAGGTTAGTCTTAGAACTTCCCTTTCTCTCAAATGGATACCGGGCTATGCCATAATACCTGGTGTGTCTGTGGCTTTTATCAGATTAACGTTGTGGGGAGTCACTCCAGGGGCGGCCTCTAACTATCATTATCCAAGTCAGGTATGGGGAGTCCCTTCTAACCTCTCCTACATTCCCAGCCACCCCAGATTTTCACAAGGAGCAGGGGACTGCCCCGTTTTGCCTCTTTATCTTCCGAGTGGCTCCTCAGAAAGGAAGTAATTTGAAGAGAAGGCAGAGGGAGAGAGCATCAGTCAGAGAGACGGCCTACAGTCCTGCTAGACTGCAGGTGTAGCCCCGGGCGGACAGAGCAAGTCCCTGTAGACTCCAGTTTCCATGGGGGGTGAGATGCTGACTCACTTGTCAAGGTGGCTGGCATAGAGAAGGAAGATGAAACACACCTGCAGAAAGCAAGAGTCAGCTGGGGATAGCTTAGCATGCGTGAAGCCCATGCTCAACACCCAGTAAAACACACAGAGAGAGAGAGAGAGACAGAGAGACACAGAGAGACACAGAGAGAGAGAGAAGAAAGAGAGAGAGACAGAGGCAGAGGCAGAGACAGACAGACAGAGAGAGAGACAGAGACAGAGAGACACACACACACAGAGACAGACAGAGAGACAGAGAGAGTGAATGGCCATATCATCTGAGTTGGCCTCAATGGCACATGCCTGTAATCCTAGAACTTGGAAAAGGTAGAGGCAGAAGAATCAGGAGTTTAATGTTGTTCTCAGCTACATAGTGAGCTAAAGACCAGTCTGGACTATATGGCTATATGAGACACTATCTCGAAAAACTAGACACACACACACACACACACACACACAGAGAGAGAGAGAGAGAGAGAGAGAGAGAGAGAGAGAGAGAGAGAGGAGAGAGAGAGAGAGAGAGAGAGTACTCAGAAGGTAAAGGCACTCACCAAGTCTGGTGAGCTGAGTTTGATCCTCAGGTGAGGCGGGAACCGATCAATAAGCTGTCCTCCGACCTCCACAAGCATGCTGTGACACTCACGCACGCACGCGCACACATACGACAGTGATAATGACATAGTAACAACAGCAGTCGTGTAGGAGAAAAAGGAGGAAAAGAAGAAGCAAGTTGCCAACGGTGGAGCCATAACAGAAGGACAGTGCAGTGCGTCTTCTTGGGAGAGCACAGGGTAGTGTGCGTATGTGGGGGAGGGGAACCCATGCGGAAGAGATGAAGCTAGAAAGTCAGAAAAGGAAAACAGAACTGTGCTGGCTGCTACGTCCTTAGGTTCCAGTTCTCAAGCCTGACGCACACCAGAGTGGCTCTGTGAGAACCTGCTCACAGTCCCCAGGACCAGGAAGGAGCCTAAAGTCGGGTGGGGTCAGGTTTACACAGACAATGAGCACAATGGGACCATTAAAATCTGCCAGCCACCTTTGTATGACTCTTCCTCACCACCTGTCCCCGGAATCCTTGAATTTTTTTAGCCCCTAAACACTTCAAGGCCCAAGAAAGTTCTTTCCACGGGCAAAACCAGGCTTCCACCATACTGCCATCCAATTGGTATCTCATGGTGCTCCAAGAATTTTCAGTTCTATAAATGTGTGATGCCCACGCACAGACTGAGACAATGATTTCCCCGGGCATCCATGGACCATAACTAAATAAGAGATGAGCAAGGGGTAGGTCCAAGCAGCAGAGTCCTCCCCCTATGTTGTTACGCCATAACTTACCATGATCTTCACCTGACCCTTTTGCTGCAGTTAAAAAGGCAGGAAAGAAACAAACCAAAAGGACTGATTCTTCATGGCACCTGTCAGGATGGAGTCCCAGAGGAAACTCTCCTTTGGTTTAAGGGCTCTTACAGACTAGGGCTTTTTATAACAACCTCACTATGACGTGGAAAACATGTTACCATAAATACAGTAGGAGAAAGGCACTGTGGAATTTTAAAATGTTCCACTTTCATTAAGAAAATAAGATTGTGATTCCTATTGTATAGCTGAAGACAGATCTAGGAATGCTGTCTTTATACAGGCAATGTCTCTAAAGGATCTTATGTTGATTAGATAAAGGAATAAAATAAAGGGCTTAGCTAATCAAATTAAAGAGTAGAACATGGTAGAAACAGACCTAGCTCATCTTCAATAATCCACTCTTATTGTGTCCGATGCACCCAACATAACCAATGCAAATAAATAATCTTTCATCACAGTGTGAGATAGAAAAGCTTCACTTCTGGGTTTAAGATAATGTTTGGAGCCATGAAACATGTTTTTCTAGAAAAAGATTTTAGTTGATAAAAAAATAGGTATCCTTTTCACTGAAAGTATAAATGACATCATCAATGTAATTTAGTCCCTCTCAAGTTCCTCGATGTATTCTCCAAAATGTTACAACAAAGTTGAGTGAACCAGATCATAGAGAAATTATGAAGGTGTATAAAAGAGCCTCTGGCATTTTCTAACAAGAGACAAAGCAGAGCTCTGCTGGCATCTCCTTACGGCCTCTCTGGGGACCTAGTTAGGCATTCAACTGTGCAGACCAAGTGAAGCTGCCGATGGGGCGTCTGGGGTCTTACCTGCAGATGGGGCACCTGGAGGCCCTGGAGGACCTTGACGACCAGGTTGACCAGTAGGCCCAGGCTTGCCTGGTGGGCCCATTATTCCACTGTCTCCCTTTTGACCCTGATAGATAGAAAGATAAAGCCTGTTATGATATCATGGCATGGCAAAGTTCCTTCTCTGTTTGCCGCTAAATCAGAGACCACCTAGCTCAGACAAGCAAAATTCATGGTGGAATAAACTGGTCTCCAGCACCCAGGCCCACAGAGCAAGTGATCTGTGCATATTTGAAGGCCTCATTAAGTTCTCATTCTGTTGCAAAAACATGGCTTAGGACAACAGAACCAACCCACCTCATCCCCTCGCATGAGTTAGGGAATGGAGTTTCAGGGTATTTGTGCAATATCCTAGTGTTGAGGTAGCTGAGGTAGGCCTATAATTTAAGCTTTCATCTACCTGCTAGGGTTACTTTCTGTCAGAAAATCTGTTTCTACCCATGGACTTCCCTTTGCTGTCTTGGTAGAGACCCAGCCCCTTACTGAACCCAAGAACTTGGATATGGCCCTGTTCTCCAGTCAGAGGAGTTTTTGTTTGCTTATTTTATTTTATTGTTGTTGTTGAGACAAGATTTCTCTGCGTAACAGCCATAGCTGTCCTGGAACTTTGTGGACCAGGATGGCCTCAAATTCAGATACCCACCCGCCTCTGTCTCCCTAATGCTGGGATTAAAGACATTTGCTACCATGCCCAGCCAGAGCTTTTTGTTTGTTTGTTTTTGTTTTTAGCCAAAACCACCTTGATTCCTATTCTATTTCTTTAAAAAAAACTTTTCTCTCTGCCCCAAACTCCTCTCTATGCCTCTCTGCTTCAGTTTTCAATTCCGATGTCTAAGCAGCAAGGTCTCCCTTGATCTCCCCAGGCTGCACTGGTGTTTCTCACCACATTCTCTCAAAACTTTCTTTTTCAAGCTTTTGTTGAGGTACATGCCTGCCATGACAGCACTCAACAGGCTGGGGCAGAGGGATTGCTGTTAGTTTAAAGTCAGCACACACACACACACACACACACACACACACACACACACACACACACACACCATGGCTCTTCCTATTTATTTCAGACCACTGACCATAGATTATTGCATGTTCATTTCATCACTGTCCCCCTAAGAGACATAAATTCCATGTGGGTTAGAATCTATCATGTTCGTCTTCTCTCCCCAGACCAAATGAAGGAGGAGAAAGAAGTTGGCAGCACACAGAGAGGGATTTTTGGCAATCTGTCAGTCAAGAAGTTTTACCTTGACAGTGAGGCTGGATAAACCACGTCATTGCTTTATGCCTTGATTTTTACCCTCTCTGAAGAAGGACCAGAACATAGTACCCATCTAGGCTCATTGTGAGGCCAACAAAGATGGCAGAAGTGAAAATGTGGCTTGTGAAGAATGAGGGGTGATGGGGGAGACAAGCTGATTGTCCCAGTGACTGGCCAGGCTTCATCTTCACCCAAGGAGAGAGAAGTTCTGATTTCCTGAGACCATTTTGGAGATTCTGGCTGAGAAGTACAACTACTTGTATGCTCTTAGCCAAAGAACAGCCCTTTACTGGAGAAGGTCATCTTTAGCCAGTCACACAGCTTTGGAAGAGACACCAGGAGCAGTAAGTTCCCCTCTCAACAGCCAGACCACCTAGGTCAACCACGATGGCCAACAGAATGACAGATGCCCAAGCCAAGTTCCCCTTACACCTAGCAAGTCCTGATTGCTTAGAGAGTCACACCTGTAGATACTCTATTTCCAGTCACAACACCAACTCTGTGAGGTGCTCTCTCCTACCAACACGGCTTTAGGGGTCTTCTCCATAATGCCCAAGGAGTTACTAAACTTGTCCCAGAGGACCCATGAGGTTAGTTTGTTTCCAACTCTGCTGTTAATCCTCGGGCCAGGCTGAAGCATTCCGCATGATAACCAAGATGGGTCCCAGAATGGCAAAGGAAGTCACACCAGCTTAATATAGCCTGTAAAGTTAGTTTTTCTAACAGCCAGGCCAGCTGGCTCTGAGCACAGGAAGTGCATGGCTTAAAGGAGCAGGAAACACTCCTTGGCTTGGACACCAGGAATAGAGGAGTCTTCTACTTAACTGGTCATGTGCAGAAGGTGCCATGTCCTTATGGTAGGTGTAACTGAATGGAGTTGCCCAGGAAAAGGACTCTTGATTCCTTATTCTCTGTGAACTCGGGAGGTTTCTCTTGAAGTCATTCTGTCTCCTCAACTGAAGTTTTTTGTTTGTTTGTTTGTTTTTGTGGTTCTTGGACTTGAACTCAGGGCCTTTTTTTCACACTTGGTAAGCACTCCACCACTGATCCGTATCCCCAGCCTGCTTTCCTGGACCTGCCTGGAGACAAGTCTGGAAACAGGACCATGATAGCCATAGCAAGGGGGAAAGAACACTGCCCAAAATCCTAACCCTGGCCTTGAAGCTGGCTCAGCTGAATGGTCTTGGCAAACAACTCCACCTCACTGAGCCCCGGTGAATAAACGGGAGAGCTATGAAGGGAGAGAGACTGGATTAAATGATCTCTGAAATCCTGTGTTGGAAATTGTACTCTGGAATCTTCCAGGACTTTTGTTTCCTAGTTTTGGATTAATTTACAGTGGCTCGAGAAATCATAGTCCTTCTGGATATATGGCTCTACCACAAGGAGTTTATTCCCGCTATGAAGGAAGCACCAGGGCAGGCTTCCGATAACCGTCCAGGGGTCTGCGGAGGAGAACGGCTCTGTGGAGGGCATGAGGCAAGTTCCAGCGTCTTGTAAAGGGGGCAGCGTCCTCCCTGCTTCTTCTGAACCCTCCAAGTGATTTGGTGCAGCTCTTACTGTCATTCCAAATTAACTGCCGTCATCAGGGTGGATGACACAGCCTACTCGGCTTTGGCTTTGCCAGAAAAGAGAAACTGCCCCAGGAAAGATCTAGAGGACAGAAACCAAGTCTCTCCTCACAACTGATGTAGACCATTCTGGAATGAAATCATGATAGGGGAGAACTTTCTCCCTCTTTTTCTGAGACTGGCACCTGCGGCGTGCTTTTGAAGCCACGTGACCACGGCACCCTGTGAAACTGTCCAAAAAAACGAGACTAACGATTTGTGACTTTGAAAACAAACAAACTAAAAGAATCTTGCCATGTTTGGTTTGAACGACTGTACAAAAATAAAGGCTTTGTTTTCAGTTGAGAAACAAAATAACGTCACCGTGAGTCTGAATTATCCAGAGCCAGGGCAATTCTGCGTTGACTCAGGGAAGAGCACTACCTTCATAGGGCTACCGTGATTCTGACTCCTGGCTGGGCATTAGCATCCCATAAGTGGCTTCAGCAAAGCACATGCTGAAGTCTTTGGGAGATGAGGCCCAGGCACGGGGGTGGGGGGTGTTCAGAGGCAAAACCTGGAGATGCAGTCACTGTAGGGATGTCTGTAAATGCCTAGGTGATGCTGATGCAAGCTGAAGTCTGAGGATCCTCACACCAACACGATGGAAAAGCTTTGTTGCCAGAAGATGTCTTCCTCTGAGCATTACCAATGGTCTGGGTGAGCCTCTCCTCCAAGCAACCTATGCTTCCTTGTTTATTAAATATGATGTGGGCATTCTTAGAAGATGTTTTAAATGTATTAATACTACAGCAACAAGAAGCTGTACACATTGTGATCTTAGGCTATAAGTGAAGGACAAAATAACTACATGGTGGACATGAAAGAAATAATGTAAGATATGAGAAGAAATACTTCTCAACTACATATAACCTCAGCATGTCTGAGGTGGAAGAAGGAGCAGCCGGAGTTTGAGGCCAGCCTGGGCTACATGAGACTCTATCTTAAAGCAACAACAACAATAAATGAATAAGCAAGAACTGTTAAAGTGAAAGAAAGAATTATGGAAGGATATAATATCCAGATCAAACCATAACCACCAAGAGAATGGAGATAAAACGCCAACTAGAAGGACAGATTTCAAATATTTTCAAGGTCTCATAGTGAGATCCTGTCTTAATACAAACAAACAAAAAACAAAAGCAAAAGGTAGCATCCACATCTCTCAGGTACATCTGTCCATTATCAAAAATGCTGGTTTCCCTGTGGGCATTTAGTGCAGTCCAGAAAAGCGAGCCCCCTCCTTCTTTTCCCAGTTCTATAACTTGGCTTACACTGATGACCAAGGGGCTCCGAGCAAAAAATTCCCTTAAGCTCTTAGCAAACCCAGTGAAGAAGATCACTTCCAAATGAGGGATTTGTCTAGTGAAACTGTCGCTAAGGTTCAAAAGACCTGTTAGCTGCAAAGACAGACCTAGGCTGTTCTATAAAACTCAATCTATCCCCACTATACTGACTCAAAAAGCAGGTTTACTGCATAATGCCCATTTCCGGTTACTCGGTTAAGATATATATGTGTTCCTATGAACCGGGGCCACTCTTGTGAGTGGAACCTGTAACCTTGAACCGTGGCTAGCTGGAGAGAAGCCTGAACATCTGTAATTAGGCTGTGCTGTCCACTAGCCCTGAGGATGCTTGAATCGAAGGCCCGTGGACTAGCTCGAGCTGACTCCTACATGCTTCTCCACACACCTCCAGGAGGTGTGCCCTCAGCGGGGTAGACCCCAGGATCCTTACCTGCTTGCCTCGTTTTCCCGGTCTCCCCGTGGGGCCTCGGTGTCCTGATAGCCCAGGTTCTCCCTTGGGACCCATTTCACCCTGAGGAAAAGAAAGAGAAGCAAGAGAGAGAGAGTAAACACATCTGTGCTGGTCTCCCAAATCACTGGCCACCGGGACCCCCTCTTCATCATTCTAAATCTTTTCCAAGCAGGCTGTCCTGGGAACATGGGAGACTGATGAGCTCATATCCAAGGAACAGGAAAGAAAGAAAGCATACCCCCAGGGTGTGACTTAGTGCTGTAGAGCAGTTGGTGCTCTGGTGGTCACTTGAGAGGGACAGCCCCGTCCACAGCAGCCAGAGGTGGATTCTGCATTTCAGTCACACACGTGACTAGGAAAACCTTTCTTGTCTAGTTGAAATTTTGCAGAATGGTTTATTATGTTTCTTTTTAGTACAAAATCACACATATGAGTTGGGGTTCTTATGATGTTTGGGAACAGTCTTGTCTACTGTAATGTTCGATATTTTATAGGGTTTATTTAGGGTTACATAGCGCTCCACTCTTCTTCTTTTCCTCCTTTCTTTCTTCCTTCTTTTTTTTCTTTATGAGATAGGGTCTCACTATGTTGCCCTGACTGGCCAGAATTTTGATATATAGGCCAGGCTAGCCTGGAATTCCTAGACATCCAACTGCCTCTGCCTGCGGGGACTGAAGGTGTGTGCCACTCTGTCCAGCGTGCTCCATACTTCAGTAGATAGTATTTTGAGTTCCAGTGTACTTCTGTGTATTCAGACAACTCCCTTTAGAGGGTCTCCACCTCTCTGTGTAGCTAAAGACGACCTTGACGTTATAAGCCTCTTGCCTCCATCTCCCTTGTGCCGGGGTCACAGAAATGTACCACTATGCCCAGCTCAGCTGAAAACCCTTTCTGTGAGGAGCCATGTTTCAAGCATGTGTTCAAATGGTCACCATTAAAAATAGGATTAAGGGTTGGAGAGATGGCTCAGTGGTTAAGAGCACTGGCTGCTCTTCGAGAGGTCCTGAGTTCAATTCCCAGCAACCACATGGTGGCTCACAACCATCTGTAATGAGATCTGGTGCCCTCTTCTGGCCTGCAGGCAGAACACTGTATACATAATAAATAAACCTTTTAAAATATTATTAAAATATGGAAAACAATGTAAATTGCATTCCTGATTGAAAACCTTTTCATAGTTCAAGGCCAAACTTTTGCAAAACTTATTTCTCAGACTGTCAAAGTGGCTGTGTTGATAAAGGTGCTTGCTGCTGTGCCTAAACACCTGGACATGGAGCAACAGCTCCCACCAGTACAACTCTGACCTCTATACGTGCACTATGATATGTGTAACACACACACAGAGGGGGGGGGAATTTTTTTCTCCATCTTAGTTTTCCTTAGCTTTGCCTGTCTAGAATTCCTGTCCCGCTTAACAGCCTCTGGGGGTTATGGACCCATGGAGCACATTATTTCTACTTCAACAATTGCCCTGCATCCCAAACTACATCACCAACATGGTCAGTGCAATAATTGCTACCAGAGAGTTTCTACTTATCAGCAGAAACTGACCATGATGTACCACCCTAGCCACCCAGAGACAGCAACAGACACCCAGCCTCCTTTCCAAGCTCTCTAACACACTGGAAAATTCCAGAGGACACCAATAGATGGTGAGGATCAAACCCAAGCTGACCTGACAGCCTAGCAACAAGACGACTCCGTCCTTTCCCAACACACTCAGCAGTTAAGAATGCTTACTGGTTTTCCAGAGGACCCAAGTTCAATTCCCAGCCACGTGTATCAGATGACTCACACTGCCTCTAACTCCAGGCAGTAGTGAGCTGTCACAAAACTTCCAACTCCAGGGGAGGTCCAAGACCCCCAACCTCTGCAGGCTCTAACATTCATGTGCACATACCCACACATAGACACACACGTAAATACATCTTTGAGGAAAAATTGCTCTTAAGTCCATATAGCCTTTCTACCATGTTGACCTTCAGGATTCTCAGTGGTGAGATTATGATGGGTCAATGGGCCATGGAGATGTTTCACAATTTCCCTGGGCTGTTTAAGGGGCATGTCTTGTTTGTCCAGGAGAAAACATCAGCATAAAAAAATAGGAATTTTTAAAAAGAGATTGTCAGAAGGAAGTGTGGCCCTTCTCTTTATCAACTAGAAGCAGCCAGTAATTTCTTGATCTAATTTCTCTCCTAAGACCTAATTATGGTTATCATATCATCTCTGTATTAAAACAGCCTGCCATGAAAGGGGGAAGACGGCTCTTTTGTTGCCAGGTCTAGTAAATGGTGCAGAATCCAGAGGAGCCATCATATTTAATTTCACAGTGATTTATGAATATTTGATGTCACTGTTGCGGGGAATGAAAACCTAGACCAAATATCTTAAGGGACTCACTTCTCTTTTGAAGTTTGCTTCAATTTGTTTATATAGTTACTGTATTTTTAAAATGTATCATCCCATCTAGGATAGCAGAAACTTTGTTTCTGACAGTTTAGGTAAGGATAAGTCATAGCGGCTTTAAAAATGGATAGAGGTACTTCATCATGTCCTGATGGCTGGGTACTGCCCAGTAAAAATGTTACACTTTAGGAAGTAACACTTTAAAGTAGATGTTTAAAAAGAATTAAAAATACTTGTTTACATGTTTGAAGAATTTCAGTTTGTGTCCTAGGTAAAGATAACAATTTCCAGTGCCAATGCCTTACAGCATGAAGACACAGTTTTACCATGTTAGCTTAGGTGGCTGTTGGGATGAGAACAACCCCATAAACACATGCATTTGAGCCCCAGTTGAGGGGACTCTTTGGGAAGGATTAGGAGGTGTGGTCTTGTTGAAGGAAGTGTGTCACTGGAGGTGTGATGGGGAAATCATTCTGTATATACATTTGTCTTATTGGGTGATAAATAAGGCCCTGTTGGCCAATAGGAAAGCAAGACATGTGGGATTAGGAGGGATGGAGGATTCTGGGAATTGGAGGCACAGTCTCTCACTATGTAGGACGTGAGAGGAATAAGAGGTCTGGACCCTTTCTCCGGTAAGAGAAGACCAAGTGGAAATACTCAGATTAGCAGTTATGGGTTAATAATTAAGTCAGAGCTAGCCAACAAGACACCATAGAAAACAGCCAACAGCTTCATAATTAATATAGCCTCCTGCGTGTTCATTTGGGAGTGACGTGGCTCTGGGACCAGGCTGGCAGGAAGAATGCTCGTTACGGGGTGGGCTTTGGTGTTCAAAAGACTTGGGCTGTGTCCAGTGCAGCACACACACTCTCTCTCTGAGTCCCACTTGTGGATCTAGATGGAAGTTCTCAGCTACTCAATACCACGCTTCCCCTCCCCTATCATGGACGTAAGCTTTTGAAACACTTTCATAACTTGTCTTGGTCTTGGTGTCTTATCACAGCAATAGGAAAGTAACCAAGACAGCTTAGGGACTGTCCTACACGGTCGATGCTTTATGTCATGAGGACCCAGTGTTTCCATGTTAGCTCAGTAGCTGTTCAGCGGGGTCAGTAACATAGCGTCATGCCAGGGGCTGTTTTACACGGTCAATGCCTTACAATGTAAGGACTCAGTGTTTCCACATTTATGCATCTCTCTCTTTATGCTAAGACGTTTTCACTCATCCAACACCCAACCAACCTTATTCCAGATCCTAAACCTAAGCCAAAGTTGCCCCAAGTCTGTCAGTCTGTTGCCACCCTCACAATTTTTGTTATGTCAATACATCACCCCATGGCTATTTACTGAATAATTCTCCTTTAACACCTAAACTGTTTCCTTTTAAAATTAGGCTTGTCCTAAATGAGATACTAAATAACTAACTTATTTAAATAAAATAGGTGTCACCTATTTAAAATAACCCCAGGTCCCTCCAACAGTATTTTCCACCCTTGAAGGCTGTATTGAGTGTTTAGGCAGTAGTGAAACTAAATCAAACAAAACCCTACGTTGCTCCAGGGTCTGAGGGGTAAGATGGTTCTTGACCTCTGTGGCTCAGATAGGAGATAGTAGCTCCACACAAACTTTCTGGCTTTGAGCTCCAGGAGGTAGGAGAAGGAAAGAGGGGCCTCTCTCCATGGTGTGTGTATGTGTGTGTGTGTGTGGGGGGGGTGATAGCCTTTCCCACTAAACTGGAGGCTGACCTCAGACCTCTCTGCTACCCTCTGTTCAATGGACAACTTGGTCCCCATCTCAAACTGGAACGTTCCACAATTAAAATCAGTATCTCCGCCTGAAGGACCAAGAGGAGGACTCCATTCACCGTTTGGAGGATCTGAGGTCTGTTACCTCTACTTCTAAATACTTACTTTCTGCCCCAGCATTCCAGGAAATCCAGGGAAACCCTGTGAAAGGAACAAATATTGTGACTGTTTTGAAATGCCACTTGGAGCTGGCTGCCCATCCCACCTCTATTACAGACTATCTCTTGTACAGATTCTCCATTACCTTCTCTCCTTTGGGACCCAAGTCACCCCTTTCGCCTCTGGATCCCTAGGAGAAAACAGGGAGAGAGAGAGAGAGAGAGAGAGAGAGAGAGGGGGGGGAGTCAATGCACTAATATTGAGCTTGTGTGTGGGTGGCGGTAGGGACAAGATAGATTTCAGAATGATAGACTGCCTAGACCAACACCCTCATTTTTACAAAGCTCTAGTCTCAAACAATAGGTGACTTGCCCAGTAAAGGAACGCTTCCTGGCTAGATCCCTAAGACCTCTTAATGTTAGTTGCAAAGGGAAACTCATAGAAGTTTCTGGGTCTCAGAGCCTCTCACCTCGCAGGATATGTGTCTGCAGGTTGCCTGTTAGTCTTTGTTTTGTTTTGGTGGATGAGAAGGCTCTGTGGTAGAAGCTTGGCCCAAGGACAAGTCCCCTTCTCCCAGCACCCCTAAATGCTGACTGACTAAACTCCCTGCCTGCCTGCTCTCATTTGCCCCCTGTGGTGGGGCCAGGAGCCTCACTGGGAGGTCCTCTTTACCAGTGTTCCCTTCCTCAGGACGCCCACACTTCTTCCTCAGCCCTCAGGACCAAGGACAGAAGGACAGCCGGATGATGCCTGTAGTTGACATCTGAAGAGAGAGCTGGGCCTGTCTCCCACCCACCAGGATCTGGGATGCCACGAGAGACACGAGGACTGACCTTTTCCCCTCTGGATCCAGGGAAGCCCTAAAAGAAAGCAGACTGTTTATACTCAGCCCCCAAGACAGCTGAGTGCGCACTCTACCGTGAGTTTTAAGGAGCATGCAACAGAAAACACAAAGATGCTTATGCCAGGCCTAGGAAGGACATAGCTTTTCTCAGCCCTCAAATGCCGGATAGCTAAAGAGAACAACGGGAACAGGATCCTCGAGTCCCTGTAGCCCAGGGCATGATGCCCCCCAAAGGGCTGACTCCCCAGCACAGGCTGAGAGTCCCCCAGTTCCGCCTTCCCCATCTTTGTAGACAGATGCTGCTCCTGAGTCTTAAAAAGAAGGCCTGGGAATGTCCATCGGGACCACACACTGACCTTAGAGCCCATTGGTCCTCTCGACCCCGGCAAGCCCGTCATACCCAGGTCACCTTTTTCACCCTGTGGCAATTAGAAGACAGAAAGGAAGCCCCACAGTGATATTTCTTGGAGAAACAGAAACAGGCATCATGGGCAAAACCGGGATGGAACCAAGGCACTGGAGCTGGGTTGTGAACTTGAGGACCCATAAACCCCTTTGCCTCCTCCCAGGACTCCTCTTCACTCTTCATTGTGGCCTTTGAGACCAAACAGGGAACAAAAATGCCCGAGGTGGTACAGATCGCCAAACTAAATCCTCACTGAGAAGCTGTGAATGGTGGTGTTTGATCTTTTCCTGGAGAGGTTTGTGGGGGGGGCAGGGGAGACAGCCTGGGGCCTCAGAAGACAGGCTTGCCACACATAAACTCTTTGCCTGATTTGTTCTTTTGCATAGGGAGGGCCTTTCAGACATCTCATTATACTCTCAACCTCAGCTTGAAGCCAAGCAGAGGGAAAACGAACCTCTGGATGATATGTACCCGGGAGGGAGGGGGTAAGTGCATCCGATGGGCTCTGTCGCACTCAGAACAAGTTTGAATCTTAAGCATTCTCTATATTACATAACTGCATGTCATCTCTAATTAGTAGAGATATAAAGTCAACTATATGCTGATTGTTGGGATTAACTGTGAGGTTTTTGCTTTTGTTTTGAAGCAGGGGCTCATGTATCCCTAGCTGGTCACAAATGTAGGTGAAGATGACCTCTGAGCAGATGCCCCCCCATGAGTGCTAGCTGGTCACAAATGTAGGTGAAGATGACCTCTGAGCAGATGCCCCCCCATGAGTGCTAGCTGGTCACAAATGTAGGTGAAGATGACCTCTGAGCAGATGCCCCCCCCCCATGAGTGCTAGGGTTCTAGGAGATGCACCGCCATGCCTGGCTGCATATTCTGAATTTTAAATGTCTTTATAAATTGCCTTAAGTGTAAAACTAAGCAAGTGAAATTAATTTTGCCAGTATTTTACTTTCCTTTAATCTAATTGTCACTTCAAATGTAATCATTGTAAAATAATGAGATTTTAAATTACATTTTAGAGAGAAAGAGAGTGTGTGTCTGTGTGTCTGTGTGTGTGTCTGTGTGTCTGTGTGTGTTTGTCTGTGTGTCTGTGTGTGTGTATGTGTCTGTGTGTGTGTGTGGGGTGTGTGTGTGTCTGTGTGTGTCTGTGTGTCTGTGTGTGTTTGTGTGTCTGTGTGTGTATGTGTCTGTGTGTGTGGGGGGTGTGTGTGTGTGTGTCTGTGTGTGTGTGTCTGTGTGTGTATGTCTGTGTGTGTGTGTCTGTGTGTGTGTGTGTGTGTCTGTGTGTGTATGTGTCTGTGTGTGTGTGTGGGTGTGTGTGTGTCTGTGTGTGTGTGTCTGTGTGTGTATGTCTGTGTGTGTGTGTCTGTGTGTGTGTGTCTGTGTGTCTGTGTGTGTATGTCTGTGTGTGTGTGTGGGTGTGTGTGTGTCTGTGTGTGTGTGTCTGTGTGTGTATGTCTGTGTGTGTGTGTGTGTGTGTGTGTGTGTGTGTGCCACAGCACATATATGGAGGTCAGAGGACAACTTTTGGGAATTGGTTGTCTCTTCTAGTCATGTGGGTTCCAGGGATGGAACTCAAGTTGCCAGACTTGGTGAGAAACCTTCACTGGCTGATATCTCCCAGCCCTGAATACAGTTTTATAAATTAAAACTTGGGTAAGTCAAAATTAAACCTCCAGTTATTCATTTATATTAGCCACAGTTTAAGGGCTTCCCAGCTATACATGGCTGCCGTGGTGGACAGCTTAGCTCTCTAGAGTGGGGACTCTTGCTTGTTTGTGGCAGGATCTGATTCTGGCTCAGGCTGACCTGGAACTTTACTTTGTAGCCCTGGCTGTCTCTAAGTCATGGTGGTCCTCCCCCAGCCTTCTGAGTACTGGGTTTGTAAGTATGAGCCACCATGCCTGGCCACACAGCGAACTGAGAGTTGCCTGCACGTATGTATGCATACCATGAGCATACATGCCTTCTGCCCACAGAGGCCAGAAGAAGACATTGGATCTCCTGGAACTGGAGTTACAAACAACTGTGAGCCACGATTCCAGTGCTGACAACTGAACACAAGACCTCTGTAAGAGCAAAAGTGCTCCTAATGTGAGCCGTCTCTCCATCTCTGCAGCCCAGTGGCTTTAAAGAGAAATCTCTTGGGAGTTTTGTGTTACCAGCACAGCCAGGAAGGGGAAGCACAGAGGATACCCGCTTGCCTTGCCCTGGCTTCTGCTGGTCAGATTTATGAGTCATGGCCTCTGTGCCCTGTTTCTGTGCCGGGCAGCAGGAACACAAACCAAGAGAAGATGGGAGTGTGTTTGCTTTTCATACTCTCTCCTGGTATAGCATCTGCATCCTTGCAGCCTGCCAATACTCCCCAACTCTCCACCTGCCAGACCAGCATAGCGGGTGATAGTTTTCCAGACCCAGGCTCCCTTGGGGTCATCTCAAGAGAAACTAAAGATTAGCATACTGATGCTCAGATCAAGGGAGAAATGGGGCTCCTGGGAAAGAAAGGATCGGCCCCCTCTTCTCCCCAGGAGCAGAGTCACAGCACTGACCAGGGTCTGCAGGCCACATGAAGGGGAAATGCCTGCAGGCTGGGAGCTGCCTTCCAGCCACTCTCCCTCTCAAGGAAATGGTATGCTTGACTGCTGGCCAGGACCCGGGAGGCAGCCATCTTCCCCCTCGTGTTCCGATACTACATGAGCCCCAGACACATGCAACACTTACCCTGGGTCCTTCAGGGCCTGGCCAGCCAACAGGCCCAGGCATGCCAGGAACACCTGGGGGTCCAGGTCTACCCTTCAAAGACCAAGAACAAAAGTCAAGATACCTCGATATGCTTCCCTGCAGCCAAGAATATTTGGGGTCCTGATAAGGTATGAGGCCACTACATGTGTCCCCCTGTATCTTTATCCTGACCCTACAAAGAATGAGGGCCTAAAAAGTCCCTGCAAACAGATATGAGTTAGATTCTACTCTATTTAAGAAAGAGAACAGTGGGTAGAGGGATTCCGAACTTCTTGGTTTTTCAGTTTTCGTCACCTCTATCCACTGTACCGCTGGCCTCGCTTCCTATGAGTTCTCCGCAAGGTTGTCATGTGGCGTGAGCTGGGACTATGTGGGGAGGAGCCGCAGGTGCTGTGGGAAGTCCCCCAAGGCATCCTCCCTGCTTGATGTACTGTGTCCCAGGGGCTACACTGGTGGCTCCTAGCAAAGCCTGAAGTCTAGAGGTTCATTTTGGGACCTTGGAGCTTCTCAGTCACTTATGAACTTTCCTTCCTACAGTCAACATCCCTGACTTCTCACCATCGAGGCATCAAAGAAGGACAGACAGACAGACAGACAGACAGACAGACAGGGGATCCACACTCCCAATCCCATGACTCTCTGATGACACCCTTCTCCACTCTTTACGAGTTCCTCCTGACCCCGCTCCCTTCATAACGTATCCAAGTGAATGAGTCTCTGGTTCCAGAGAGCCCCACCTCAGCTCTCCGGGTTACGGAGGAGCAGCCCTTGTGAAAGAGGGTGAGAGCTTAGACTTCAGCTCCTCACTCCGTGGCTCACTCCACAGTTAGCTAGGGATGCAAAAGGTTCAGCCAAGAGTTCAGTGATGCCCGATGCCGGCGCGTACATTCGGCTTTCTCCGTGTCCGTGGCAGACATTACTAAGCAACACAGACCTTGATGCACCTGAGCATGGGTTCACAACAGGATTCTCTGCAGGTCAGCATTCAACACTCATCTGTGGCTGCCCTTGATATTTGTGCCTTGTGAAAGTCTGCTTATGGCTTCTGTTGATATTGATATTAAACATGCCACTGTCATCTTTTCGGCTGGATTTGCTCTTCCTTCAACCACAGTCAAGACCTAGAACTTAAGTCCCAGCACCCACTGACCCCAGCGACATCCCCTGCGGGTTCCTTCTCTGGCTCTGATGACGGCACACGGCTGGTTCGCTCTGAGCCACAGTAACTTCCCAAGCAAAGCGGCCTGTTCCAGTCTGCTCAAGCACTTTAATCCAGTCTAATTAAGTAGTGAAGATCATTTTGTGTCACTGTTTGGGGGCTTGGAGAGTTCTCTGCTAGGTGGCAGGGTGAGGCTAGGGAGGTGTGGACAGGCCCAGGAGCCTCTGGGTTTGTCAGAGCCTAGCCGCCACAGGCTCCAGAAAAGGCAAGCATCTGACACCCTCCGAGGGACGGCAGCCTCAGCACGCCACCAGGTACTGGCGGCCACTGAACACACATGCACTCATGCAGCACAGAGCAGCAGGGGTCATACCTTCCTTCCTGGGCGGCCAAGATCCCCCTGTGCAGAGAGAAGACAGACAAACAAAGGTTGTTTGGAAGTGACACTCTGGATTCAGAACGCTTAGTAGGGCGTGGCTGTGGCTCAGTCAGTCAGCTGGTCGCTCGACCAGTTATAGCGCGCCCGCCACGCCAATGGCCCAGAGCACACACAGCAATAGCACTCCCTACTACTACAGCTGCCGCCATTCATCAGGGAGCCCTCCTCATCTGCTAAGAGCAGATTTTGATATCTCAACCAGAACATTCTCAGTGGCACCCCCATAAAGCAAGCTGTACTGACCAAGGAGAGGCGGACTAAGAACGCAGAGGCTCATACCTTTTCTCCCTTCGCTCCTGTCTTGCCAGGGAGCCCCGGTGGACCCTACACAATGGAGATAAGAAAGAAGTGAAGAAGACATATACCCAATTAAGGCGAGACCACGGGGAGGGTCTGTGCAGGGGTCTGTGACACTGGGCCTTTCTTTACAGATCACTCAGACTCAGCATGGGGGCTCCAGGCAGCCCTGCAGAAACCTTCAATCCTGCAGCCCACTCTCCCCTCTGTCCCTCTTCCTCCTGAGCTTTCTCTGGATTTTGCTTTTTAAGAATCCTTCTGTGGTTGGCAAGATCAACAACAGAGTCTTGAAGAAGCCCCCCTGCTGAGACAGGGGTACTCCTCAGCCTCAGGGATCCCCCCTCCCCCGCTGAGACAGAAAATAAGTGTCAGGAATAAGCATTCGAAGTTCCCGGTGGGCCATCTTGTGAAGATAAAATTGGGAGACACCACCTTCGGTTTATCTGCCGTCTGTTTGGGGAAGTGGAGTTCTTCACTCTGCCAAGCCTTCCATTTCTTGAAATGGTTAGAATAATCTACAAGATTGTTGAGCTTGGCACCCACCAACCAACTCTGACCGAACGAGGGGGCAGCCTCCCCTCCCCTCCATGTGACTCAGTTGCCGGGGTTCACAGACACATGGGTGTGGCTGTGGCTGCTGTTCTGACATGAGCACAGGCTGGTCCTCTTTCCATACACTCTGCTGGGGTATCAGGACCCGGCAGAGGAGAGTGCCGAGGAGGGATGTAAGAGTTACCTTACAGGAGCCTCACCTGGCCTTTCTGCAGACTTCCAGCCCTGTTATGAAGTCATTTTCACTATACCATTCTTCAGATGCTTTTATTGTTTCCTTATTTATTCTGCTTACTATGCAGCCTAGGCTAGGCTTAAACTCCTGCCCCAGCCTCCCAAGTGCTGGGGTAATAAACCTGTCACCATGCCTGGGTCAATAAATGTAAATGGAGGACAGGCTAGCTATGTAGCCCACAGGTGGGATAAACTGTGAACATTATCCCTGTCCCTGCAGACACGGGGTCAGTAACGTTTCCTCTGCAAAGCCAGAGAGTAATTCTCCTAGGCTTGCAGGGTCCTCAGCTCTGCCCTGATAGCCTGAAAACGGTCTCAGAGAGTAAAACCGTAGGTAGAAAACCAGATAGGGGCCGGATGCAATGCTGTGGTTTTTAGGTTTGGTAATTGCCGAAAGCTTCCCTCTCCACGCCTCTCCTTCCCTCCCTACCACCCCCTGAGATGTTTTCATTCTGTAGCCCAAGCAGTCCTGCAACTCACTATTTAGTTCAGTCTGGTCTCAAACTGGTAATCCTCCTGCCTCAGCCTCCTCCGAGGGCTGGAATTAGAGCTCTGTGTCACCATGCTTGGCTGAGAAAGGCATCCCTAAGGAGGTACCATGAAAGCCAACCTCCGAGGGACCAGGAGGAGCTGTGAAAACCAGGCAGGGCCCTGAGTGCACAGACGGAGGCTGAGGTGAGCTTGGGGTGTGAGGAAGACAGGCAGACACCGTGCTCGAAGGTGGAGGGCGTGTGAGCTGATGGAGCAGTCCAAGGCGGGGTCCACTCTTGGGACGTCCAGGTTGGGAGGTTTGGCCTCTAGTCCCCTAACACTAGGAGGTTCACATGGCCGAGTCGTGATGTCTGTGCCTCCCGCCCAGGCCAGCACTCAGAACCTGTGTGCTTGCACCTCCCCCTTGGGGGACCAGAGCCTCGGGGCAGCTGCAAAATTCCTCTTGGCAGCAGGCCAGCCCCAGGGTGGGGGGCTCTGGAGTGCACTCCTGTTTGTCTAGAAAGTTCTTTCTCTAGCAACTTGCTTGTTCCTCACTCTTCTCTTCTGCCTTGGGTGGGGGCTGCTTGCAGCGGTTCAGACTCGGGAAAGCTCGGGTCCCTCTGACCGCCATGTTCCTGCACTGAGCATGAGCACTTTTAGGTCCCAGGGTGGAGTGGATTGACCGTCACGTCTGCATTTGGTGATAGTGACAACAGCCACTACTGTACGGGCAGCATTCTATATGAGACCCTCAAATCTATCATGACAAGGGCTGCAGGGGTGAGGCCCGATTCACCCAGACACTCTTCGGACTCTGGAGCTAGCTGGAGAGGAGCTACAGAAGAAACCCCAGCACACGGCATGCCATAGGTCTGGAGCCATGAGGTGCTGACCACTAGGCTTCTTTGTCTACGGGAAGACACAGGAGGGGTCTGGGAGGGTGCACCCACCTGGGGTCCAGGGGGCCCAGGAGAGCCAAGTGAGCCTTGAATGCAGGGTGATGGTGAGGCCTCAAGTTCCAGAAGATTCTTCATGTCTGGAGAGAGAAGCTTCATAATAAAGCAATGGGTTAGAGGTCAGACCAGTGACAGAGATGCCTCCCTGGACTCGACGCTGTGGGAGCCTCTGAACTCTTTTTTTTTCCTATTTTTTTAATAGAAACTGCATTTGATACCTATCCTGTAACCTCTCTCTACCCTGCTTCTCTGTCTCTCTCCATATCCCATTCTTGCCCCATCCCAATTTCATAAACACTTTATTTATAAAAGGAAATGGGGGCCCTGCATCTGAACATCTATCTATGGGAGCCATGAATGCACCCTAGTGTTCTCAAAAAGATGAGGCATTTTGCTACTTCTACCTCTCAGGCAAGAAAAAAACTCTGTCCTTCACAGCATTGAGCCGGCAGGAAAGCAGATGTGGAGAAATTGGCGAAACGCCCCCTCCTGGCCCCTGAGGGAAGGGGCAGCTGCCTCTCTCAAACGAGACTCTGGAGTGGCCCTGTTAGCCAGGTATTGAGCTGACACGGAGGAGCCTGGAGATTTTCACTCACCGAAGTCCAGAGCACTCACCGGGCTTCTGCTGCCTCTGAAGAACGGTGGCGGGAACAGCGGGGGAGGCGGCGGGGTCAGCAGGCAGCAGGCTCTGTGGCTGCCCCGCTTCTTCTGACCCAGGCCAGGAAGGGCTGTTCAGAGAAAACTGCTGCTCTTTAGCACAGGGTGGGGTGGGGAGGGGGCGGTGGGGGAGGCGGGAGGGTGGGGGTGGGGAGTGGGATTGGGGGGTTAGGGCTAGGGTGATGACCTGTGTCGTGCCCACCATGCCCAGGGTACACTTGCTCACCTCGGATTTTCAAATGCAGTTTCTGTTTGAGTTGTGAGTACTCAGGACCCTGTTTGCTGCCTGACCCAGACCTTCTCTTTGTCTCTGATGGATGGGGGTGGCACAGACACTGCTGTGTGTGTGCATGCGTGCCTGCATGCATGTGTGTGTGCGTGTGTGTGCATGTGTGTGTGCGTGTGCGTGCATGCATGCCTGTGTGCGTGTGTGTCCTTTTCTCCTTCAGAGACAAGCTTCGTAGGTGTGACAAGGAATGCAAAGTTTAGACAGACCCTAATGTGGCTCACAGCTCGGCAGTGCTTGTGGACACCTGTGATGCTGTCTCAAGAGGAAATGTTTTAGACAGAGATGTCACCACGGACACGGTGGCGCTGACTCCAATGTGCTCAGAGCCGTCGTTTGAAACAGACTCTAAACACTCACTTGGGTGCTCCATCCCACGTGAGTCCCACCTAAATGTCTCCATATAGGTGACCAAACCCCAGCATAAGGAGGCAAATAGGCTACTGGTCTTCTATACCTTGGTTTCTACAGAGGCTTATCTATGTTTGGCCTTAGCACAGGGTTAGTGTCATAGCATGCAACAAGACAGATCCTGCAGTACAGCACGATCGAGTTCCACAAAGCTGGCAGCAGAGGCCTGTGAATGCCAGCCTCTGGGCTTCCCTACACCCCCCGGATCTTAGCACCGGGACACATCATGAAGATGTTTGCATTTTAAGCAAAATGAATCTTACAGTGTGAATTCCTCTGTTTGTCTTTCTCTTACTCGGCGCAGTGTCTGGGGGAGTGGAGCAGGCTGTCAGCGTTCTGCCCTGCGGCTAGACCATAATGAGCTTATCCGTTCTGCTGAGCATCACAGATAAACATGGGATCATGCTGGTGCTCACACACCGGAATGGCTCCAGTGAAAAGGACCGTGTGGAGAGGATGGGGGACGGCCGAACCGTCATTACATGCTAGCAGGTGGGAATGGAGGCTCATGTCTTCTCTGGAAACTTGCTTGGTGCTTTCTGTCAGAGCAGGACATAGACAAGCACTGCAGCTCAGAGACTTCCAGGAGTTAACATAGAAGGCGGGTGCACTGGACTGTCTGAAGCAGCAGGAAGCCATGTTTTTCAGTTCCTGGTTTTCCTGGCATCTCAACCTCCCTGTCTTGCTTGGATGCCTGACCTCACAAAACAAGCCCAGGTGGGCCTTCCCATGCCTCTCAGCACTGAGCTCCGGGTTGAATCTCATCAGTAGGAAGCTTTCCTTCACACCGAGCGTCAGGGGCCTGGCTACTCTTTTCTGGGGGTTTATCCCCGTGCCCGTGCTTCTCCTTGAGCTAAAACTATTCCCTTCTTTCTCCCAGCACGATCTGTGCTTCCTGAGAAGGGGGGCAAGGGCCAGTTTCCAAACCTGGTAGACACTAGACCTCGATAAATGGTCGCCGAATTAACAATTTAGTGTCAGGTGCTAACTACGTGCGAGATGTACACAAATATGTCAAATCTGCAGAGCGACCACGAGCTAAACACCACCAACCCTGCCGTCGTCATTCCCACCCACTGGTCATGAGTGAGTCAGGCAGCATAGGTTCAAACAGCAAGGCAGCAGTGGAACCCATACCAGAGACTGCTCTTCTGAACTCTGACTCCAAATGGGCAGAAATTAAGACTGGGACCCAGGAAGGAGGCAGCCCCCCCCCCCCCGTAACGCTGCTTGAGACCACTGTATCAATGCCTTCCAACCAAAGACCGCCAGAAACACGGCCGAAGAGGAACCTAATTGGGTTTGTTGGTTCATGGCAAGAAAGGGGAGCACACGGGAAGAACCAGGAGGCACTGAGAGAAACTTGTTCTCGGACCCTGGCTCCTTGTGGGAGACAGATGCAAAGGTCTAGCCTTGCTTTGGAGCAGCAGCTACCGACCGGAGTGGGCTATCAGCAGGCTTAGTTCTTCTCTGGGAGTGGAGACAAACACAAGCCGATTACATACAAGAATGGTCATCTTATGGAGGGATAGCCTTGGCTTTTGTCTGTGTTTGGTTATGACTTGGGGATATTCTTGCTTTTGTCCTGATCCACCACGGTCACAGAGTGGGGCTGTCTGAGGTTGAATCTATGGAATCATGTGCCGCAGGGGATGCTGTGTGTTCCTGGCCTGGGCAGCTCCAGCCGTTGTGGTCACTGTTCTCTCTTGTAAATGCTAATTCATGTGTACGGATGCTTGGCCTGCGTGTATGTCTTTCCTGGTGTGTCTGAGACAGCCAGGAGAGGGCATCTCCTGGAGCTGGGGTAACACCCGCCATGTGGTTCCTGGGATTTGAACCCTGGTCACTTGGAAGAGCAGCCAGTGCTCTCAACTACAGAGTCATCCTCCAGCTGCCCCCCCCCACTGTTCTCTTTCTTGGTAGAAAATGATAGTTATGTTTTCAAGCTTTCCTCTGCCACCAGTGCAAGAAGCCAGGAGTAGACAGCTTTGGCTTCTCCAGGCTACCTTGGGCTAGCGAAGAGGGCGGCAGGTACACACTAGCCTCAGAAACCTGTTAAAGCCCCCTCCAGATCGTTTCCCTTCGTCTTCCTATGGCCTCAGTAGACAGCAAAGATCCAAGGCTGAGTTCTCCAGATGGCCCCTCCCGGAAAGAACACCTGGGGGCCTGGCGGACCATGTGCCTAATTTGCACCCTGCCTTTGATTTTCCAGTCCATATATGGTTTCCAGTGGGGCCTGTCTGGCACCCTGGGAGCCCCTTCAGGGAAGAGCTTGGGTGTCTCAAGGCAATGGATCGCTCCTCTAACTTCTTCCTGGAAACTGGAGGCATCTTCAGTGAACATAAATTATCAGCTGCTTTTGCTGCCAAGGCGTCTGCCTGTAACACTTACCCCCACCCTCCCCATTCTCCCCCTTGACCTACTTCATCCCAGCAGGTGGGGGGCTTGGATTTCTGCCCCTCCCCCAACTCCAGGAGATGTCTGTTTTTAGCACAGTCTGGCTTATTTACGGCTCATTCCAGCACTGAGTATTTCCATCAGGTGGATGAGTTTGGGAGCAGCACCACCCCCCCATCAGCTAAGCCAGGGCTTCCAATGTCTATTTTGGTGCTGAGTGGCCTGTGGGTCTCCCAGGCCTGTGCTGTCTCTGCTGGGATGGTACCTAAGCTCAGGGACCAGCCTGGAAGAGCCCCAGAAGGCAGGTGCTAACGCCATGAACTGGAGTGTATGTGTGTTGTGTGTGTGTATTACATGGTGCCTTTTGTGACCGGGGTGCACCATGTATAGCTCAGCCCCAGGCAGCCGCCTTGGCAATGTCAACTACCAAGGGACTCCAAGGCCACCAGCCCTCACTTAAAGACACCAATGCTGTATCATCTGTGGGTATGGTACTGCCAAAGTAGAGGCAATTGTCCAATGAAGGTTTCAGCAGTGTTTGGTTTTCCTTCTCATTGGAAAGGATCCCTTTCCATGCTTTATTTTGAGCAAATGAGATACATTCTTGGAAAGTTATCTATACCCCTGGGCTCTTGGAAATTCAGGCACTTGACTCCAGGAGTGTGCATCTGGGGGGGGGGGGGCATGTGACCACGTGATACAGAGCAACTCACTTACTCAGCCCAAGGACTGAGCTCCCTCCTCTGTACCACCAAGAGTTTGACGTACAAAGGCAGTTCTTAAGGTAAGTGTGACACCAGGATCACCACCAGGTCTATCTTCATTTTCCTACACGCAAGACAAGCTCAGACCATCAAGTAAGGCCACCAAGACAGCTGCTCCTATTTCAACCTCCTACACCAAACAGCACCCCTCAGGGCAAGCCACTGTGTCATTAAAGCCTCCAAAGGAAGCAGCTGTAAAAGAAGGCATCCTGCCTTAGCAGGTCGGAAGGTGCCAAGTGCAGCCAGATGCCAGCGACTCCGCACCTGCCGTGCATAAGGTGGTAGCCTAGGTTTTCACTGCATCCACCGGTTGGAGTGGTGACAGAAGGGAACGGCAGAAAGGGCAAGGTGAAAGGGACAGTCCCTGTTGTCACTGGGTGCACCCACGGTAGGCTGGAAGGTCCAGCAACAACAACATCCACACGCTAGCTGCAATTTGCCCAGCGTTGTCTACAATTCACGTATTCCAGGAAAGCCTGACTCCAAGGACTTTCCTTCGGCCCCATGCACAGACCATACTGCCTTTGCAAAACAAACTCTTATCCAAACGGTGAAAGCATTTTGAAATCCTTTGGGAGGCCGCCGGGGAGATGTGCGCCAGCGTAGGCAGCAGGTGAGGACATGGCTGCAGAGGAAGTGCTTTGGTGGCTGCTGCCTGTGAGCCACATCAGCTAAGCCAGTTGGCCTGGAATGGTGGCGAGCATCCCAGCCACCTAATGTGAGGGGGGGGGGTCATGGCCCACAGAACACGCTTTTACTCCAAAGTCAAGGGGACAACAGCTGCCAGCCACCCTGGAGTCAAGGTCACGAGAGGGACAACAAACAAATTCACACACATATGCAAGGCCCCCACTGACTCCATGACACCCCTTTACCCTGCAATCCTAACACTGGCTGAGGAATTTCAAATTTAAAGTCCGCTAATGCTCCCAGGACAAGCTTACTGTGTAAGTCTTTTTTAAAAAACTGCATGCACATACTCTCTCTCCCTCCCTCTCCCTTTTCTCTCTAACACACACACACACACACACACACACACACACACACACACACACACACACACACTTACCCAGGTAGCCAACTGAGTGACAGAGAAGTCCTGAAATGGTGAGGAGATGAGTGAGGCTGAGTGGCGGGCCCGTCATCGCGAGGCAAGGCCAGGGCAGACTGACAGGGAACACAAGTTAGAGGCAGGCTGAGATTTGTCACGCCCCCACGCTGCCCTCGCCTGGCCTGCTTGGCATTCGTGGTGGGAGTCGGCCAATCCCGGCTTTGATGTTGCTTCTGCCCCAGATGCCAGGCTCGCAGGGGCCAGTGCTGAGCTCCGGGGAGCAGGGATGGGTCAGCCGTCCTTCTCTACCTCCTCAAAGATGCTTCTGTGGGGCAGGCCACGGAGACACAGCACCCTCTGCCCCGGGAGGATATGAGTTTGGGAGCTCAGGGCACTGATCACCTCATACACCGCTAAGAGGAAACAACACAGCCTGTCAGCCAGGCAGCTTTTCATTCGCCTCAAAACTGCCTCATCTGTGCTGCTCTGGCACGCATCAGAGTCGCACTCCACAGAGGGTGTCCAGGGAGAGAGACTGCCCTCTCCACACTCCACAGAGGGTGTCCAGGGAGACGACTGCCCTCTCCGCACTCCACAGAGGGTGTCCAGGGAGAGAGACTGCCCTCTCCACACTCCACAGAGGGTGTCCAGGGAGAGAGACTGCCCTCTCCGCACTCCACAGAGGGTGTCCAGGGAGACGACTGCCCTCTCCGCACTCCACAGAGGGTGTCCAGGGAGAGAGACTGCCCTCTCCGCACTCCACAGAGGGTGTCCAGGGAGACGACTGCCCTCTCCACACTCCACAGAGGGTGTCCAGGGAGACGACTGCCCTCTCCGCACTCCACAGAGGGTGTCCAGGGAGACGACTGCCCTCTCCGCACTCCACAGAGGGTGTCCAGGGAGACGACTGCCCTCTCCTGCTTCAGGGAAGACCTGTGGCTCGGGGTTTGCTATGCCTGGCAAGGTGTTGTCAATAAAGTCACACTCCAAAATCACAAAACACAAACCATGGATATATCACACACACACACACACACACACACACAATCTTGCTATGTAGTCTTCTATATATGTAAATATATATATTTGAATATATACATACACACACATATATGTATTTTTTCAAAGACCATGAGGGTTGAAAACTAGGACTTCATGCTTGCTAAGCACGTAGTCTACCACTGAGCTACATCCCCAGCCTCAAACCTTTTTATAGGAACCTTGTCTACAAAATAATAAAGTGGCCCATGCCAGATACACACTGAAACACGCTACCTGATACTTTATTATGTGCCCAGATACACAGTGAAATACGCTACCTGACACTTTATTATGTGTCCAGAGCATGAACATACATAGTATTCTAAGGCACGACAGATAAGGTTATTGGTACTTTGTAAAATGCTAACTTAGGCATCTTAGTGATGAGCTTTATAACAAAAGCAGTCAACTCTTTCCACAAACAGCTGACATTAAATGTTTTAGGATTCCAGGGAGACATGGTCTTTGTGGCAAACAACTTTGCCATTATACATAAAAGCAGTCATGGGCAATATGTAAAGATATGAGTGTAACCAAATCCTGGGAAAAAACCGTTATTTATAAAAACATAGGAGGCATGCTGGACTTGGGCCCTGGCTGTAGTCTGCTGACCCTAGCACTATACTATCACATGAAAGGACAGTGTCTACCCATCGTATGCATCATCCACTAGGAACACGGGAAGAGGGGAGTGTGTGGTTGTACAACGACCAGGCTTGATTTCCAGCCTCAGCCACGTGCTGTTCAATGTTGCAGAAACAGCACCAATTCTGGCATCAGGCAAGCATGGCTCAGGTCCTGTCCTGCCACCTGACAGCCATGTGCCCATGAGGAAGACTCTATTCGGAGTCTCAGCTTTTCCACCTGTAAAGTGGGTGCTGCATACGTACTTTGCTACTCCGTTGGGAGGATTCGGGCTGGGGCTTTTGGATAACCTTTTCAGGGTGAAAGAGTGGAACACAGGGAGGGATGTCTGGAGAAATCTGCAGGAGGAAGAGATAGTTGATGGAGAGAGAATGAAATGAGTAGTTAGCAGGGCTTCCTGGAAGAGGTGGCTTTGAGCCGAGCCTTAAAAGCAGAGATTTTTTTCTGGCACAAAGTAGGGGAGGAGGGGGAGGAGGAAGGCTCAGACCCAGTTCCTCTGGGAACGAGGTCTAAGACATCGAAGCAAGCAGCATCAAGGGCAGGGAGCACTCACTTTAGAGGCCCAACAGTTGAACAATGTCACCTGCATCATCTCCCCAGCCCCGGCGTTGCGGTCACAGTCCCTGTGATGGTTTCAGCAAGAAGCTCATCTGCTTGAATTCTTGGTCCGGGCTGCTTTGGAAGGATTAGGAGGTGTGGCTTTGTTGGAGGGAGGTGTGTCACTGGGGGGCAGGCTTTGAGGTTTCCAAAGACTGTCACTGTTCTCTGCCTCGTGCTTCCCCAACCAGGTGTGTGCTCGTGGTTCTTCCCGCCACCCCGCCTTCTTTCTACCGTCAGGGATCTAACGAACCCTCTGAAGCCATCGGACAACTAAACGCTGTCTTCTACTAGTTGCCTTGGTCATGGTGTTCTGTCACAGTAACAGAAAAGTAACTAAGACAGTCCCCATGTTGTCCCCTTTCTTCCTCCTGTTCCTATTCTGTTTCCTCCTATTCATCTTTTTTGGAGAGGTCTCATTCTGTAACCCAAGCTATCCTAGGATTGCACAGTGCAGTTTCAGCGTACAGTGACTCTCCTGTCCTGGGACCACAGGCCTGTACCGCACATCTGTCCTGGGACCACAGGCCTGTACCGCACATCTGTCCTGGGATCACAAGCGTGTGCCGCACATCTGGTCAGAGCTTCATTTTCCTCCCCCAAGCATTATGTCACGAACCCTGGGAAGTTTCCCATTTCCACAGTAAAACCATTGTTTTTTTAAATACCATGTAGCATCAGGCTTTTTAAAAAGAGGTTTATTCGTTTTATTCTATGTGTGAATGTTTTGCCTGCATAAGTTTGTGTACACCACGTGTGTGCTTGGTGCCCTCAGAGGTAAGAAGGGCCACTGGAACTCCTAGAATTGGAGTTATGGATGGTTGTGAACCACCATGTGGGTGCGGGGAACAGGACCCGGGTCCTCTGCAAGATGTGCCTTGTCTTCAGCCCTCAACAATAACCAGCTCAGCGGCCTCATGTGACTCCTGTGAAAGTCGCTGGGCCATGAGCTCTGAATTCCTATTGTTCTTAATAACAGGCTGCGTCCTGCGTCTTTCTGTGTTTCCCTCGGCTGCTCTTTTCCGTCTGTCTCACCCCATTTCCAACTTTAACCTGCTCTCTTCGTCCTGGGACCACCTTCCTGCCACTCCCCTAGCTCCAGCCAGCCTGGGACGTAGGATCCCTGGTCCTTATCCCTGGCAGGAAATTGCTGTTGGGGTTGGATGGCTTCTCTCCCCTGCGTATGAAAGGGCACCGGCCAGGTGTGCTCTGAGCTGTCTCCCACTTCTCCACAGAGGCCATGCTTCCTGCACACAGATCCTCTGTAGGGCCCTGACTACAGGGAGGTGCATCCCTCGTCCCTCTAGTCAAGGTATCAAGCCTTGTCCTTAGCTTCACCTCTATTCCTGGGCCCAGGCCCAGCTTACTACTGATGAGCTGCCTGCAAAATTTCATTCATAATCAATTTCGGGCCATCCTGCCACTGTCAACAGGTGTCACATTCACAGTGCTTTGTCTTAATTGTGGCTCTGGGATTTATCACCCAGGCCAGAGGACCACTTCTGGAATAGTGCCTCCCTGGGCACCATTCCAGAACTTCCAGTCCCTACTGCAGCACAGGGGCCTGTCATTGCAAATCACAGCCAAAATGAATTCTGTCACAACATCTGCCTCCCCGGGCTCACCTGCCACTGCTGCATAGATAGATATCTGTGGCCAAACCAGTTCCAGCACCGGACCCCAGGGACCCAGAGTTCTCATGCGAGGAAAACATGTCCATACTCGAGCAAGACTTGGTGGTGAACAACCATGACCCTGCAATCCTGGCGCTCCAGAGACAGGGCGTTGTAAATTCTGGGTCAGCTTGGGCTAACAGTGAGAACGTATTTCAGAATTCGAGGAAAGAGTCATTGGGATGGCTCAAAGAGTTAAGGCACGTGTCATCAACCCTGACCTGAGTTCAGTCCCAGGGCACCACATGGTGGAAGGAGAGAACCAACCCTGCAAGTTGACCTTTGAATGCATGCCACACACATGCATGAGTGAGCATGCATGTGTATATATGCATGTGCACACGCGCGCACACACACACACACACACACACACACACACCATACTTTTCAGAAGTCTACACGGTTGGGAGCAGAGCTCAGGATCCCACCAGCCGTAGGACACTTGAACTCTGTTGTCCCATCTCCAGACCTTTGTGGGCAGCGTAGCTGAAGAAGTCCATTGACAAAGACTGCCCCTCCCCTTGACCAGACTTCAGTCATGCTGCCCTCTCTCCTCTTGACTAGGACTCCAGCTTGAACTTGGGCCCCTGCATCCATTCTTACAGTTGTAGCTACCCTGCACCCACCCCAACTAATCAACCTAAAGGAATTTCTCATTCTTGACATCAGCTTGAGTCTTGACATTGAATGACTCTGGCCTGCTTTTAACAAAAATCTTGTGAGCTGGTTTTGGCAGAATCCCCCTACCCAGTACGTTTCCATCCACTCATCCAACTGGCCCCTTTAAGTCCCCACTTTTCCTTGTACTGGAGTTGATCTAGAACTTTGTCTCTCACGGGGCTAGTCTTAACAACATTGCTCACAGCCTTAAGTTCTACTACATGTTGCCTCCAGAACCACTGCTTTTGGAACAGGCCTACTGAACATTCTACTGGAGTCCACAAATACTTAATTGAACACCTAGGCATGGCAAGCTTTGAACCCTGAAATAATGGCGATGGTGGATTGGCACTTTCCACATCGTTTGCCGTTAGTGCTCTTGGCTCACCGTCTCCATGTTGAGAAGGGAAAATTACTTTTGGCAGAATCATGTTAACAGGTCTGAGCTCCACAGCTAGAACAGACTTGGAAATGGAGTTCAAAGGGATCTTACACACAGCCCTGTGAAGAGGTGGCCCCCACAGCCACCTGGGCCAAGCTCACCCGACCCAGCCACCTGCACCCTCCCTGTTCTTCTCAGTACTTGAGCGGAGCCAGCAGCTTCCCCCACTCTGACCACTCCCTACCCAGCTGGCTAACCCCCCCTCCCTCAAAGAGTTCAGCACTCCACAGGCCAGGGCAATCCCTGAGAACTGGGGCACGGGACCCTTCCTGCCAATAGTCTTGAGTGCAGGGGATTCCATCTGAGGGGAGGGTGGAGCCACAGCATGGAGAGGGCCCACAGCCCAAGTGTCTCCTGGGGCTGAGTCTTCCCCCACTGGGGATGCTGAACTGTGATTGGGATTTTTCTTTTTTTTTTTTTAAGTGTTTATTATGGATTATGTATACAGTGTTCTGACTCCATGTATGACTGCAGGCCAGAAGAGGGCACCAGA